TTTGGGAAATAAATTTTTTTAGATAAAATCTATCACACGTTTCAAATTTCATTGAAATTGGGGATACATATCGTGTTTGGTGCATCAAATGCTTGAAATCGGCCGAAAATATATATGGGAGCTATATCCAAATCTGAACCGATTTCAATATAATTTGACAAATTTATTTTCGGATCAAATCCCGTCACATATTCCAAATTTCATTGGAATCGAACAGTCATATTGTGTTTGAGGCATCAAATGAACGAAATCGGTCGAAAATATATATGGGAGCTATATCCAAATCTGAACCGATTACAATATAATTTAGCAAACTTATTTTTGTTCCAAATTCCGTTACACATTCCAAAATTTGTATACTGTATCTTTAAACCGATCAATAGATATGTGCATATAAAATCTAAATTTTGGGGAGGTACCTCCGATTCTGATGCTATATCTCCAGTTCCAAGTGGAAATTCAAAAATGTATATAGCCTATATTACTTTCAGGCGATGTTGCAGTATATATGGAAATTTTCAGAAAAATCTATTCAGCAGTTTTCGAGTCCATAATTACAAACAACAAACAAACAAACAAACAAACGTACAAACATTTTCCTCTTTTATAGATATAGATTAACAAATTATGCGAACAATTAATGAAAACTGTTTTCCTCAAGGTTTTCAAAATAGTGGTTTACAACTTTAATTGCACCTTCATTTGAGGTAAAACGCTTGCCAGCAACGATTTTTTAGGTTTGGGAACAGGTAAAAGTCACTGGGAGCTATTGTTTGGATTGTTCTTTTGCTTAAAACGATCCAAACAAGTTGAGAAATGTTCATTCTTTTGCGTTTTTGATCGACTGATAACAAATGCGGCATCCATCATGCATAAAGCTTTTTCATCTATAGTTCTTCATGCTCATTAAATGTACTCAACATTTGAGATGCCCATGATATTAGCAATTTCATGCACTTTATTCGTCGATCATTTAATACCATATCATGCATTTTGGCTACGATTTCTGTTGTTGTTGCTGTTTTTAGACGTCCACTACGTGGTTCATTTCTATGCTTGTACGACCACGTTAAATTCAGCAACTAAATTTTTACTGTTGCATATGAAGGAGCACTTTCATCCATGGTACAATGATATGAAGGTAGGGCTATGATACCATATGATTTCAATTTTTTTATTTTCTTGGCTTAATATGTCATCTTTATTTGTTTACGTATGTGTTTTCTTTTCAATAACAAAAAAATGTTCAGAAAACATTCAAATTCGGATGTTTTCAAAATGTTTATTTCATCGTATACATCGACAAAATCTAGAGATGTTGTAGCGAAATATCCTTTAGAGATATAGAACCTGGTTTTGAAAAGAAGTGTTGACCTTTCATTCAGTTTTCGCGGTTTTCAATTATTTATTCAAAATAAATGCAACAAGTTGTTTGATTTTTTATTGTTTTGATACTAATTCTGACACTACAAGCCAAACAGGTAGACCTCTATACTTGCGATTTTTCAAAGTTGACCTACCTTCTCTTCATTGTACCATGCTTTCATGCATGGTACAATGATATGAAGGTAGGGCTATGATACCATATGATTTCAATTTTTTTATTTTCTTGGCTTAATATGTCATCTTTATTTGTTTACGTATGTGTTTTCTTTTCAATAACAAAAAAATGTTCAGAAAACATTCAAATTCGGATGTTTTCAAAATGTTTATTTCTTCGTATACATCGACAAAATCTAGAGTTGTTGTAGCGAAATAATCCTTTAGAGATATATAGAACCTGGTTTTGAAAAGAAGTGTTGACCTTTCATTCAGTTTTCGCGGTTTTCAATTATTTATTCAAAATAAATGCAACAAGTTGTTTGATTTTTTATTGTTTTGATACTAATTCTGACACTACAAGCCAAACAGGTAGACCTCTATACTTGCGATTTTTTCAAAGTTGACCTACCTTCTCTTCATTGTACCATGCTTTCATCTAACACATTCATCATATCATTATGAATTTCTTGTCCCGATAAACTTTTTTTATATGAATATTAATGACAGAGCTCATTTCTAATTTTTTCCATTGTTATTGCGGATGCGTCTTTTTTTAACACCTGTTTCTATATAATGGAAGGAAGTTTCCAAAACACTTAATTTTTCTGCTTATACCGCGCTTTTTGTGCAAGGCTAAGAAGTTTCCGAACTGCATTCGTAATTTTAAAGCATGCACGCGATTTTTCTTCATTTATTCAAAATCAATGCAACAAGTTGTTTAGTATATCTGAAAATTTGTTGATACTAATAGGCATGGTACAATGATATCAAGGTAGGGCTATGATACCATATGATTTAAATTTTTTTATTTTCTTGGCTTAATATGTCATCTTTATTTGTTTATGTATGTGTTTTCTTTTCAATAACAAAAGAATTGTTCAGAAAGAAATACAGGTCGCAATTATAGACCAATCAAAGCGGAAGTTAGCATGGGGCTAGAGCTTAGGGCTGGGCAGAAGTCTTCCAATTTTGATGGTCATCGGGTAATTTTTAGCGGGTTAAATAGGCCACAACATTTATGTTAAATAAAAGTCAAATTTTCCATTAAACCGCGAATATTTTTCATCCCGGCAAAATCACAAATAGACGAACAGGTCAATACTGACCGTTACGTAGATGCCGATAGTAAATATATCGGTTATATATAGCGAAATATATACAATGTATATATAGAAAGGAGGGGGATGTTAGCTAAAATGCTTATATCTCAAGAATGGCTGGACCGATTTTGACAAATTTTGTCAATTCAGAACGCCCTCTTGGCATAAAAGTATAAAATCTAAAAAAATCGCAGAAAATTATGCCAATAAAGATGTTAATATAGACTTTGTAGTATTTTGTGACATATTTTATTTTCTCAAATTTTTTATCGCATGCGATTTTTTCAATTTAACTTATAATATTTTGTAATATTTTTTCACATTACAACACAGGTTGGGGATATTAAATGCATATTGCAATTATCGTCCGATCCTCACGAAAAGGGTAGGGTTAGGCTCAGAAGGGCTAGGCCTATGAATTCAAGGTAGGGCAGAACTATCATATGATTTAAATTTTTTTATTTTTCTGGCTTAATATGTCAACTTCATTTGCTTTTGTGTGTGTGTCTTCTTTTCAATAATAAAAATTGTTCAGAAAATATTCAAATTCGGGTGTTTTCAAAATGCTTATTGCAACGAATGTATCGACAAAATCTACAGTTTTTGTCGCGAAATAGATATATAGTACATGATTTTGAAAAGAAGTGTTGACCTTTCATTCAGTTATCGCGTTTTTCTATTATTTATTCAAAATAAGTGCAACAAGTTGTTTGATTTTTCATTGTTTTGATACTAATTCTGACATTACAAGCCAAACAGGCAGACCTCTATACTTGCAATTTTTTCAAAGTCGGCCTACCTTCTCTTCATTGTACCATGGTATGTCTTATATTACTTTACACACTCTTACTTTTCAATTTAAGAGAATTCTGGTAAATCGGTCATCTGTCAAATATGTCCTTGGCATATTTGTGAACGTTAAATATGTCTCTTGTGATGCAGTCCTGATAAAATTGGTTGCAGGGAGTTTGATCTACGGCGATGTTACTTATCTGATAAAAGTGCTTGCGTTTCCTCCACGCAGTAGCGCATTTTTGAGTAGAGATTCCATCAGTGGTCCATTCATTTAGAAAATTATGATACATTCTCTTCTGTATTATCTCTCACAAACCCACAATGTCCTCTTTAAAATGATCTAAGATCAATTTCGAGCTGAACTGAAGAAAAGTAGCGCGCAAGCCATAGTATCACTAGTGAGTGATTCAGAATTTAGTAGTAGAATTATCGTCATATAAAACATCCATATTGCATTCTAAAGGTACCCAACATACCAAAATGGCTTGAAAATAATATTACAATAAGCTTATGAACATAAGCCTTAAGCTTGAGAAAACATTGAAAATTTTTACGTAAAAAGTATAGAATAATCGAAATGGAACCGTTATTTATAAACTTATACTTAAAATTGTAGAATGAGCTTACGAAAATAATATTATATTAAGCTTTTTTTATTGTAATAGTATAAAATATTAATTTTTAATCATTTTACATATGGTACAATAAAAGTTAAGGTAGAGCTCCCAGCTGATTACAATTTTTTTCTAAGTGTGCCCGACTTCTGCCAATTTTGTGTATGTATTTGTTGCTTTGAAAAATAAAAACAAAATATTTTCAAAATCAATGATTGGAAGAAACTTAAATTGCGGGGTGCACATTAATAATAGGTGTGTCTGGTTACTTTTCCAGCAGGAATTGTCCAGCAACTTCTTTCTGAGAGAGTAAGGTAGTTTTATTCTCTTTTGCAAGAAAATTACGAGAAGTAAACAGACGGTATTTCTGCAGAAGCTTGCAACTAATCATCTGATTTGTCAAAACAAACCAATTTGTCCCCCATTAAAAGAATTAAAATAAAGGAAGCACCACCGATTTTACAAGTTTTATAGATAAAAATGTTGGAAATAGTCTTTTATTTTCATATTACATATAAATATTTACGTTTTTCACATTTTGTAAAGTTGTTCTCCAAAAACAATTAGTCTTGCGAATTCCAACAAAAAAATGTTCAAATTGAAAGCACAAAAATAAATAAATAAACAATGTAAAACATCTGATTGAATGTCGATGAATGAGAAGAAGAAGAGTTGCAAGTGATTGCAAGAAGAAATTTGTCCAGCAAGAATTTGCAAACTCTCACAAAAAGAACTGTCAACATTTCTCTCTTCAACCGCTCTCTTTTGCAGAACTTTCGGGTTAACAGACGACTTCCAGTAACAATTTGTAACAATTGTTACAAATTTTAGGGTAACCAGACACACCTAATATTAACGAGATTTACCATGGAATTGAAAGTTTGAACACTTAGGATCATATTTTTGAGAGAACATCCAGGCATTTCATTCATCTTTCGCGCTATTTGACACAATTTAGACGTGAACAAAAATATCAAATAAATGAAAACAACTTGCTGCCTATAATTTTGAATAATTCCGACAGGAAGCGGGCATAGCCTCAGGGCTGTATTTATGTAGTTTTACGTAGCTTATTGTACCATGATTTTACACATTTTTTTTTGATGGACATCCCAGTTGTAACTGCCTCATGTGGCCTTAATACCCTGACGCTTTTTTTCTCCCTCATTTGAGCTTCTGCATCTCTTCCACTAAAACTACACATCTATTAAATTCCTGCAACTTTTTTGATGCCTCCAATCTGAAATGGGATTGAAATAATATGTATCACAGAATCCTGGATTTATTATTCATCCATACCTCAAGAATCCGGCCCAGAAATGGGTCCTAAATTCGCGTGATTTTGCTTTTTACCAAAGAAAACAATTTTTGCTGACAATTTAACAAAAAAATCAAAACAAATTTGTCAACAAAGGACAGATTTGAGAAAAGTTTGTGGAACATAAGTGTTTCTCAAGCATTGTTGAAAAATTATATTTTTATAATATTATTATCAAGCTGTATTGTATTTTTGGTATGTTGGGTATACTCATGGCACAATTGTACGTGTCTTCCTTTTATTGAAAATATTTTGTTTTTATTTTATTTATTTATTTTTATTTATTTCTTTTTTTTTCAAAACAAAGAATACATACACAAAATTGGGCACACTTAGGAAAAAATTGTAATCCGCTGGTAGCTCTACCTGACCTTTTTATTATACCATGGGTTCACCTACCTGGTATAACATAATTTGGTGTGTTATAGGATTGAGGAAGATCCTGACTTGTCAGCGAATGACCATGACCAGGATGCCTGGAAATGACTTTAGCTTTTTATGTACTTGCACCTTGAGTTTGGGTCTGGTCCGTGGCTTTTAATTGACAGGACGCGGTACCTTAAATGCGCTAAAACCTTTAAAGTGCATGGAAAATAAAGGAGCTTTTAAGAACTTCGTGCAGAGAACTAAGTTCAGAGACTTAAATATTTCCTCCGTTTGTAAATGAACTGTCTGAGCCTCCGGGCTTGCATCGGTTAGAAATTTTGGAGAGTATTTGGCCGATTAGAATTAGAAAGCTATTGATTGAATACATCGAATCAGGCTTTAGCTCCTGCATGAGCTATCGCCACTAGGTTTAACGAATTGCTTAAATCGACGGACCAGTCGCATGTCGTATCCTCAATTGGAAGAAACGCCGATTAACAGTCGGGAAAACACTTATAAAAAATTAAAAAATGACAAAAAAGGCGCTGTTTTTAAATTGGGAACGTTTACTACAAAATTCAAAAAAGATTAAATAATCTAGGCAGTGTTTCCATAACAGGAGCCAACATCTCTGCGGGATTGCTCTCCCTTAAGCAATTAACGAAGTTCAAGACAAATTTCGCATGATAGAGTAATGAGTGATCCTCGCTCATATGGGGGCATATGACTTCTTCCAGTGCTGGAGAGGGTTTAAAGAGTTTTCCTCGGAAGGTGGGTAGAGGTAGTTTAGCTGTAATAATTTTGACGTGATATTAAAAAAATAAGTTAAAAAGTACTTTATATTTATAAAAGTTCGTATAATTTAATATTTTAGCATCCATTTGTTCAAATAAATTGCATGTACAAAACTACACCAAAAAAACTATACACAAATATACAAAACGAAATTGACTAAAGAAAGTACCACAATATTGGATATGGGAATAATAGAGTGACTAAAGCAGACATTTCCAAAATTACAATAGTCGTCCTTGCAATGACAACACATGGCTTGAGCTTGTGTACACTCTGCAATGGGACCGCAGCCACGCCAAAGTAAAAATCTTCGTTCTATAAAGTAAAAGTAGGACATTAGTTGCACCATGATTAATAAAACATTCTTTACCATATGCATTTATGTTGCCCCATTGACCTTTAACAGTGGCACACGTATCTTCACAAGTCGTTGTTAATGTACTATTGCCGGAATCGTCTAGATTATCACATTCTTCGTTATCGCGGGTGTTGCAAGCATAGCAATGGACACTACCAACTGAACAAAATTATATGTATCCAAATTAAAATCTGTATTTATAATTCTGTTTTTACCTTCTTTTATAAAAATGGATACGAGCAAAAAAAGCGCAAAAATGTTTAATGTTATCATTTCTTAAATTTTGAGAATTGTGTAATTGCTTAGAATTCTACCGTTTGAGTAACAAATATTAATATGACAAAATGCGCACAGACTACCGATAATATATTTGCAAACAAATACATATAAAATATTATTGTAGTCATTCCTTTTTTAAATTATAATATTGAAAACAAGTTCACTTGCCGAATCTTTAGAATTCTAGTTTCAGGGTTTTTTGATATTTAGTTTGGGTTTATGCCGTATGGCCAGAGAGGGCATGTATCATTTGATACGGTCAAAACGTGCCTAGTAGAAATAACGGTTTTAGACCCTAGATGTCTTTGGACCAAATCCGTTTTAGGACATTTGAAGTCGATCTAGCGATGTCGGTCCGTCTGTCTGTCTGGCTGGTGCGCACGATAACTGTCGAAAGGAGTATTTGATTTGGTTCAAATTTGGTACATTGTAGTATTATTATCAAACTTAGATCGAGTTCGGAGATGGACAATATTTCCACTCCTTCTGGTACCTCCCCCACAAAAGGTCGAAATTTTCATAAAAAAATATTTTACTGCAAAGAAAGAGAAAGGATAATTCGTGCTAGGTCAGGTGAAAAAAATGGACAAAATTGGTACGATACCGGATTGACCCGAAACAACAACATCCTGTTTTTGTATGTTTATTTTTCTGCATTGGGAGCGGGATATCCAGGAATGCTTGCTCCGGATTTTATTGCTCCGTGTCGGGATTGAGCAAAACACCGGACCTTGGTTCTGCTGGGAACGTCATCCACCACAGATCTCGGTGCGATGTAATGGATGCAGAGAGTGGGTGCACTTCAAGAACTGTTCCGGATTAAGGCGTTTGCGAGACTACAGCGAAAGGGACTATGTTGCGACTTGCTGCAGTAACGTAGTCCCCAGCGAGTCCTCTTCTTCGTCGTCCTCGTCAGAGACGTCGTCGGAGTATGGCACTCCACCGCAGTCTCCAGAACAGCAACCAACACCGCAGCACCTAACGCCACATGTTGCTGTTCCAACTCCGGATTGTGCATCATTCTTGCAATTCAATTGCAACGGACTTCGAGGCAAAATAGATGAGATAGTGGAATTTATGAGTCGGAGGAATATTAAGATCGCAGCGGTGCAGGAAACCAAGCTGAATGAAAATTGCAGCCTACAACGTTGTTATGGTTACAACGTACTAAGGAAGGATCGCACCAGAAGTGGAGGTGGGGGATTAGCGTTCCTGTTACACCATTCTGTTCAGTACAGACCTATCTCGCTTGAGCTAGTCTCTAGTGACCCATACATGGAATGTATGGGGGTAGCAGTCAAGTGTGGAACTGCCGAGGTAGAGGTGCTTAATGTGTATATCCCGCCGATTAATAGCTGTGAACCACGTTATTTGCCTGATATTAGCCCATTATTGGTAGGCAATAACCGCCTGGTACTAGGGGATTTTAATGCCCACCATGAGTTGTGGCATTCCGTCCTAGGTAATGACCAGAGGGGATCAGCGCTGGCAGAGCAGATTGACTGCTCCACATTCTGCACGGTTAACGAGGATGCCCCCACCCGAATAAGAGGAGAGTGTCACAGTTCGCCAGATTTAACCATAGTGTCACCCGGTCTGATAAATGACGTGACTTGGCAACCCGTCATTTCTCTTGGCTCAGACCATTTCCCGATAATCGTCTCCATAAGCAGGTCGCCCGATTTCATAACCTCTGAACGCCGCACTTTCCTTAACCATGGGAAAGCTCACTGGCCAGAGTTCAGAGAATTCACCAACCGCCGCTTCAGAGAACTGCCCAACCCTTCTGATGTTCGGGTAGCAGAAAGGATTTTCCGAAACATCATCAGAGCTGCAGCCGCTCGCTATATACCTGCTGGTCGAATACCCGAGATAAGACCAAACTTCCCAGCAGAGGCAGCGGGATTAGCAAACGAGCGTGATGATCTCCGTCGTACCAACCCTACTGATCCTAGAATCAGTGATTTGACAGTGGAAGTCAACCGGTTGGTACAGGAGCATAAGAGGAAAAAGTGGCTAGACCATCTGAAGTGCTGCAACATTGGAACCGATATGAGTAAGCTGTGGGTAACGGTTAAGTCGCTCTCGAACCCTGGAAAAAAGGATGATAGGACCTCAGTCACTTTTAACGACGTAACGGTGACTGATCCGAAGAGGTGCGCGGAATATTTTAACCGACAATTTGTCGAGCACCCCGAGAGTGATAGGGCGAAGCGAAGAGTACTACGTCGTATCAGATCTCTTCCCGCCGAGGAGGAACCACCACAGTTTACGATGGGTGATGTTGCAAATGTCATCCGTAACGCTAAGTCATCCAAAGCGTTGGGCCCGGACGGAATCTCAATGGTAATGTTGAAGCAGCTGGATACGCCGGGAGTCGAGTACTTAACAAAAGTTCTCAATTTGTCGCTAGCCACCCACGTAGTGCCCGAAACCTGGAAAATGGGCCGGGTGGTCCCGCTACTGAAGCCAGGCAAGGATGCCAGTAAAGGCGAATCGTACAGGCCGATTTCGCTTTTGTCGCCAGTAGCAAAGACTCTTGAGGCTTTACTCTTCCCCAGCATTAGAGGAAGCTATGCAGTTGCCAACCACCAGCATGGATTCCGTCCACAACATAGTACCACAACAGCATTACACGCCATTTCCACACATATTAGTAGAGGACTAAACCAGAACAGGCCGTGTGACAGAACAGTGTTGGTAGCCCTTGACCTATCAAAGGCATTTGATACGGTCAATCATGCCACACTGTTTGAGGACGTACAGAGAACTACCCTCCGGCCAAGTTTGAAACGTTGGATAATCAACTATATGTGTGGACGCCAGTCGTACGTGGAATTCCGGAACAAGAAGTCCAAAGCCCGTAGAGTGAAACAGGGAGTTCCTCAAGGTGGGGTGATATCTCCGGAACTATTTAACCTCTACCTTTCCGGAATTCCTCGCCCTCCAGACGGCATTGAGATCGTAACGTATGCGGATGATTGTACGATCATGGCGTCGGGTCCAGTGGTCGATGACATATGCGAAAGGTTGAACCCCTATCTCGCGGAGCTTGCCGCATACTTCCACGCGAGGAATATGAAAATATCCGCCACGAAATCAACGGCCACACTCTTTACCACATGGTCTGCGGAGATGAGAACACAGCTGAATGTTCAGGTCGAGGGGAATTTAATACCGACCACGAACTACCCCAAGATTCTTGGGGTAACGTTCGACAGCATGTTCAAGTCGTCCGCGCAAGCCACAGCTATCTGCGACAAGATGAAAAGTAGGAACAAGGTCCTCAAGGCGCTAGCCGGCAGCTCTTGGGGTGCGGACAAAGAAACCTTGTTGACCTCTTATAACGCGATAGGTCGGTCTGTGGTCAACTATGCGGCTCCAGTGTGGTCTGCGAATACTAGTGCTACGCAGTGGAAGAATATCCAGACCTGCCAGAACGCTGCCCTGAGAACTGCGACAGGGTGCCTCCTCATGACACCAGTGGACCATCTACATGAGGAGGCGAAAGTCCTTCCCTTACGTCAGCATAATCATATGCTTTCGTTGCAGTACTTGCTTGGGTGTTACCGTGAGAGCCATCCCAACCATCACATGGTGGATAACTCTCCCCCACCCAGGCGTGTCAGGAAGGACATACATGATCTAGAGAGGGAGGTCCAGCGCTACAAGAGAGAGCCTCTAGATCAAGAAGCCTATCAGGCAGGTCTGAGTGGCATTCACACCGATGCAGTCGCGGATGCTATTAGCAGTTATAAAGTGAATGCCGTCCTCGGAGTCCACCCCCCATCCATTGCAGCCGAAGAACGTCAGCTGCCTAGACAAACCAGGGTAGTTTTGGCGCAATTACGTTCAGGATGGTGTAGTCGCCTCAATTCGTATTGGGCACGAATTGATGAAGATGTGCGTGACGCCTGCCCGGCGTGTGATACAATCCCGCACAATACGCTACACCTTTTTAATTGCTCAGCCAAACCTACCCAACTCACTCCAGAGGATCTCTGGCTACAGCCCGTTAAAGTAGCCGAATTTCTAAACCTGGAGCTGGAACCAGATTAGCAGAACACAAACACACACATGTACTACTGCTACAACAACAACAACAACCACAGATCTGTTTGGGTGCGATGTAATGGATGTAGAGAGTGGGTGCACTTCAAGAACTGTTCCGGACTAAGTATTTGCGAGACTTCAGCGAAAAGGAATATATTGCGACGTGCTGCAGTAACGTAGTCCCCAGCTAGTCCACTTCTTCGTCGTCCTTATCAGAGGCGTCGTCGGAGTATGGAACTCCACCGCAGCATCTAACGCCCAATGTTTGCAGTTCCAACTCCGGATTGTGCATCACTCTTGCAATTCAATTGCAACGGACTCAGGCAAAATAGATGAGATAGTGGAGTTCATGAATCGGAGGAATATTAAGATCGCGGCGGTGCAGGAAACCAACTGAATGAAAATTGCAGCCTACAACGTTTTTATGGTTACAACGTACTAAGGAAGGATCGCACCAAAACGGAGGTGGGGGATTGGCGTTCCTGTTACACCATTCTGTTCAGTACAGACCTATCTCGCTTGAGCTAGTCTTTAGTCGGGGGTAGCAATCATGTGTGAAAATGCCGAGGTAGATGTGCTTAATCTGTATATATCCCGCCGATTAATAGCTGCGAACCGCGTTATTTGCCAGATATAAGACCATTTTTGGTAGGAAATAACCAACTGGAACTAGGGGATTTTAATGCCCACCATGAGTTGTGGCATTCCGTCCTAGGTAATAACCAGAGGGGATCAGCGCAGACAGAGCAGATTAACTGCTCCACATTCTGCACGGTTAGCGAGGATGCCCCCACCCAAATAAGAGGAGAGTGTCACAGTTCGCCAGACTTAACCATAGTGTCACCCGGTCTGATAAATGACGTGACTTAGCAACCCGTCATTTCACTTGGCTCACTGGAAAAAGGATGATCCGAAGAGGTGCGCGGAATATTTTAACCGACAATTTGTCGAGCACCCCGAGAGTGATAGGGCGAAGCGAAGAGTACTACGTCGTATCAGATCTCTTCCCGCCGAGGAGGAACCACCACAGTTTACGATGGGTGATGTTGCAAATGTTATCCGTAACGGTAAGTTATCCAAAGCGTTGGGCCCGGACGGAATCTCAATGGTAATGTTGAAGCAGCTGGATACGCCGGGAGTGCCCGAAACCTGGAAAATGGGCCGGGTGGTCCCGCTACTGAAGCCAGGCAAGGATGCCAGTAAAGGCGAATCGTACAGGCCGATTTCGCTTTTGTCGCCAGTAGCAAAGACTCTTGAGGCTTTACTCCTCCCCAGCATTAGAGGAAGCTATGCAGTTGCCAACCACCAGCATGGATTCCGTCCACAACATAGTACCACAACAGCATTACACGCCATTTCCACACATATTAGTAGAGGACTAAACCAGAACAGGCCGTGTGACAGAACAGTGTTGGTAGCCCTTGACCTATCAAAGGCATTTGATACGGTCAATCATGCCACACTGTTTGAGGACGTACAGAGAACTACCCTCCGGCCAAGTTTGAAACGTTGGATAATCAACTATATGTGTGGACGCCAGTCGTACGTGGAATTCCGGAACAAGAAGTTCAAAGCCCGTAGAGTGAAACAGGGAGTTCCCCAAGGTGGGGTGATATCTCCGGAACTGTTTAACCTCTACCTTTCCGGAATTCCTCGCCCTCCAGACGGCATTGAGATCGTAACGTATGCGGATGATTGTACGATCATGGCGTCGGGTCCAGTGGTCGATGACATATGCGAAAGGTTGAACCCCTATCTCGCGGAGCTTGGCGCATACTTCCACGCGAGGAATATGAAAATATCCGCCACGAAATCAACGGCCACACTCTTTACCACATGGTCTGCGGAGATGAGAACACAGCTGAATGTTCAGGTCGAGGGGAATTTAATACCGACCACGAACTACCCCAAGATTCTTGGGGTAACGTTCGACAGCATGTTCAAGTCGTCCGCGCAAGCCACAGCTATCTGCGACAAGATGAAAAGTAGGAACAAGGTCCTCAAGGCGCTAGCCGGCAGCTCTTGGGGTGCGGACAAAGAAACCTTGTTGACCTCTTATAACGCGATAGGTCGGTCTGTGGTCAACTATGCGGCTCCAGTGTGGTCTGCGAATACTAGTGCTACGCAGTGGAAGAATATCCAGACCTGCCAGAACGCTGCCCTGAGAACTGCGACAGGGTGCCTCCTCATGACACCAGTGGACCATCTACATGAGGAGGCGAAAGTCCTTCCCTTACGTCAGCATAATCATATGCTTTCGTTGCAGTACCTGCTTGGGTGTTACCGTGAGAGCCATCCCAACCATCATATGGTGGATAACTCTCCCCCACCCAGGCGTGTCAGGAAGGACATACATGATCTAGAGAGGGAGGTCCAGCGCTACAAGAGAGAGCCTCTAGATCAAGAAGCCTATCAGGCAGGTCTGAGTGGCATTCACACCGATGCAGTCGCGGATGCTATTAGCAGTTATAAAGTGAATGCCGTCCTCGGAGTCCACCCCCATCCATTGCAGCCGAAGAACGTCAACTGCCTAGACAAACCAGGGTAGTTTTGGCGCAATTACGTTCAGGATGGTGTAGTCGCCTCAATTCGTATTGGGCACGAATTGATGAAGATGTGCGTGACGCCTGCCCGGCGTGTGATACAGGCCCGCACAATACGCTACACCTTTTTAATTGCTCAGCCAAACCTACCCAACTCACTCCAGAGGATCTCTGGCTACAGCCCGTTAAAGTAGCCGAATTTCTAAACCTGGAGCTGGAACCAGATTAGCAGAACACAAACACACACATGTACTACTGCTACAACAACAACAACAACAACCACAGTTTACGATGGGTGATATTACAAATGTCATCCGGAACGCTAAGTCACCCAAAGCGTTGGGCCCGGACGGAATCTCAATGGTAAAACTGAAACAGCTGAATACGCCGGGAGTCGAGTACTTAACGAAAGTTCTCAACTTATCGCTGGGCCAGGTGGTCCCGCTACTGACGCCAGGCAAGGATACCAGTAAAGGCGAATCATACAGGCCAATTTCGCCAGTAGCTAAGACTTTTGAGGCTTTACTCCTCCCCAGCATTAGAGGAAGCTATCCAGTCGCCAACCATCAGCATGGATTGCGTCCACAACATAGTACCACAACAGCATTACACGCCATTTCCACACATATTAATGGAGGACTGAACCAGAACAAGCGGTGTGAAAGAACAGTGTTGGTAGCCCTTGACATATTAAAGGCACTTATACGGTCAATCATGCCATACTGTTTGAGGACGTGCAGAGAACCACCCTCCTGCCAAGTTTGAAACGAATTCCGGAATAAGAAGTCTAAAGCCCGTAGAGTGAAACAGGGAGTCCCCAAGTTGGGGTGATATCTCCGGAACTGTTTAAGCTTTACCTTTCCGGAATTCCTCGTCCTCCAGACGGCATAGAGATCATAACGTATGCGGATGATTGTACGATCATGGCGTCGGGCCCAGTGGTCGATGACATATGTCTGAACGCATATCTCGTGGAGCTTGCCGCATACTTTCCCGCGAGGAATATGAAAATATCCGCCACGAAATCAACGGCCACACTCTTTACCAAATGGTTCGTGGACATCAGAACACAGCTGAATGTGCAGGTCGAGGGGAATTTAATACCGACCACGAACTACCCTAAGATACTAGGGGCCACATTTGACAGTATGTTCAAGTCGTCCGCGCAAGCCACAGGTATTTGCAACAAGATGAAAAGTAGGAACAAGGTCCTCAAGGCGCTTGTTGACCTCTTATAACGCGATAGGTCGGTCTGTGGACAGCTATGCGGCTCCAGTGTTTTCCGCGAATACTAGTGATACGCAGTGGAAGCACATCCAGATCTGTCAGAACGCTGCCCTGAAATCTGTAACAAGGTGCCTTGTCATGACACCAGTGAACCATCTACCTGAGGAGGCGAAAGTCCTTCCCTTACGTCAGCATAATCATATGCTTTCGTTGCAGTAGCTGTTTGGGTGTTACCGTGAGAGTCATCCCAACCATCATATGGTGGATACAACTCTCCCACCCAGGCTACACCCCTTTAATTGCACAGCCAAGCCTCACTCCAGAAGATCTCTGGCAACAGCCCATTAAAGTAGCCGAAAACCTGGAGCTGGAACCAGATTAACAGAACGCAACCACTTACATGTACTACTGCTACAACAACAACAAAGGGTCAACATTTTGAATATCCATGAAGCTCAAAAACGCCAAATTAATATCCGATTCCATTCAGACTTGGCACATCTCAATATTTCTATCAACTCAAGATCTGTAATAAAGATGGTAGAGATCGGACAATTTCTTCTGGTACCTGCTCCACAAAGGGTTCAAAGTTTTGAAAAACCAAAACGATTATAAAATCCGAAATAAGCATTTCTACTAACACTAGATCTGATGCGAAGATGGAATGTATCGGTCCACTCCTTATGATACCTCCCCCACAAAGGGTCAACATTTTGAATATCCATGAAGCTCATAAAACCAGAAACCTGAGATGAATATGGAATTTATGATTTCGCATAAAACTGGATCCAAATGTTCAACTTTGTTGTAATTTTGCACATACCAGTATTTTTATCTGTATTAGACGAATAATGAAAACTTACATTTTAACATTTTTTAAAAATTATTAAATATCTCATATAAATTGAAGGGAGTAACCAATATAGTCCAAACATGGCACGCCGCAATATATGTAGGAGTCAAAATATTTTTAACTAATCGAAAATTGGCTGAGGGTATACATCTGTCGGCTGATACTTTTTATCTTGTTAATACTCAGAAATACCAAAATCTTCGTGTCAATTCCAACTCGTTTGCGAATATTCATGGAATATGATGAAGAAACATGATTAAAATGGTAGTAATATTCCAAATGTGATTATATGTTATAAGCTAACGGACGTATTAAGAATTCTTTTTTTGACTTGGGAACAATGATGAATGAACATAATTTTTCAATTTATTTAAGAATTATCCTTTAATGCCTAATTTTGAAGTTCGAACATATTCCTATACCAATATTGAATTTAATTATTTAATTAACTAACCCACAACGGATTTAGTTGGAAATTGGACTTAAACCCTCATATTAACGAAAATCGAAAAGTATGTTTTTCCTACACTTCGACCGATACATTACATTGAAATAGCAATACTATCATTGCATGAGCAAATTTCTGTAATAATCCGAGCTTTCTCGTGATGCCAACAGACATTCAAGCATATAAACAACAATTAATGAAAATGAAGATCGTCATATTTTTACCACTAGTTCTATCTTATTGGAAGTTCGAATCGGTATTTTATTTCAGGTACTTAGGTATTTCATTAATATTTATGCCTTAATACTATTTTTGCTGGTTTCAGTTATATTTTCGATATTATCGATTTGTAAAACTTCGTCCACATTCAATGGTCCTTCTAAATCCTTAAGAGACAACTGAAATAAAGATTTTTGATTTAAAATATTTTCCAAAAAAATTAAACGATGTAGGTACTAACCAGTTTTACACTGTACCCCATAGCCTGCAGAAGTTGGACTTTGAGTCGTAGTATTCCAACAGGTTGATTACTAAATTGCAATGTCTGACTTTTTGTCATAATTTCAACAAATACATAAGAATCATGCGACAACGAAGAAAGCTGGACAAGTACTCCTGGAATATTTATACCATTGATAGGACAGACAATTGCAGCAGACGCCACCGAATTTTCTTCCCTCAATCGAGAAAGTAATGTGTTGTATGGAATATCAGGATTTAATAAATACGCTGGAACAGAAGACTCAATGTTAAATGATTTAAAGCCTTTGGTTAAGGGCATGCACCACGTTGGCTCTTCAATTTGTGCAGCTGATAGCAATACGGTTAGCCGACTGTCTACTTTAGGTTGTTGTCGTTTGGGAGACGAATCGGACTTTATTTTAATTGCGTTTTGCAAAAGCTCCTTAGATTTTAAACCCAAACTCCACAATGATAAACATGCTTCGACAAGTTGATCCGGAAAGTATTTGAATTCATTATTATACACCATACGTAGAAGTACATCTTCGACTGTTTGAAGTTCGTGCGGAGTCATGCGACATTTTAACTGGAAACAACACCAAAGAAACGTAGTTATATCCTTGCCTCTTATACGGTTGACATAATTATCTGTATTATTTTTACGCAATTTGGCTATGAACTCTTGCACTAATATTTGCATACATTCCTCATTATCCCAGAGGTTGTCGGCAAACAATGCAAAAATATGTATTTGACCCCGAGTTTGAAATTGATTTATTTGTTGAGAATTCATACAGATCTTGGCAACATGTTCACAAACTTCGTCTGAATTAACTCTTTGGAAGCGAAGAGATTTTATTAATGTTATTAAGAGTGCATCATTTCCACTTTTAACTGTAGACGTTCCTAAAACTTCTTTGACAAGTCGTTGATTAAATTTCTCATTTTCTATCTTGGTGGACGTTTTGTAGGCAGCGCTAGCTACCAAAGCCACATCCAAGGTACTCAACTCGTCTAAAAATGATTCCAAGTGTAAATGAAGAAACGAATTCCACTGCTTCTGTAAGTTATTTCTGGAGATTTTCTTTGAAAGGCCGAAGTAAAAGCTGACTTGAACAAATAATTCTTTAAATTTACAACCATCTTGTAATAAGGTGTCATATAACTTCTTCATGCCCTCGGAATAAAAATCCAATCTTGTCATCCAATTCGGAATTAAAAACAAGAACGCATACATTGTTCGCAGAATAGTATCCACATTCATATCACATAATTTGTCCACTGCATAGCGGTCCAATTCATTTAAAACTTGGGCAAATTTTGAGGGATCTGCATTTGACCTATATGTCGATGCGTACACTATTATTGAGGCAAGTTGATCCGCTGAAGTCTTGGACAGTTCTTTGTGAAAATACTTCATATCACTAACGGGAAAAAAGTCAGCATAACGAACCTTATTGGGCACAATCTCACATATATTGTGTCTTTCGATAGCTACGTGCTTTGCAAACCTTGTGAGGAGCGTACCGGCCTCATCCGATGTCTCATACAGTAGATCTTTAGCGCTGAAGGATGCATATGTCTGACTTATATTCCCTAGTCTGGAACAGCACTGACTTAAATATCTCCATTTTATAACCGATTTTAGACTATTGGTAAACATTTCACTCAACTTTATAAAAATTTTATATAATAAACATCAGTGCATGTGGTTTCGTGCTGTCATTATCGCAAAGAAAAATAAAAGAAATCGGTTAATCGTTTTTTTTTTTGTCGATGTTAAGTATAGTACACACTATCATTTATGTTCAGTTATCGTTTGCTGGCTAGTGGGCATTCCATGGCCTATTCCACACCAGAGATGGGCATAATACACTGTATTTTTAGTGTACCAATAATTTCACTATCACTATTCATTTAGTGGTAGTGCATTTTTTTATTACACTACCACTAAAGGGTTAGTGATAGTGAAAAATTAAATTGCAATTTTTTTTGAAATATCACTAAATTTAGTGATAGTGCATTTTTTTTTAATATCACTAAATGGTTAGTGGTAGTGCAATTTAATTTTTCACTACCACTAACCCTTTAGTGGTAGTGGAATAAAAAATTGCACTACCACTAATTATTTAATTCTTAGAGCATTAAAAATTTAGTGCAATATACCCAATCCTGATTCCAGAACTACAAGAATGTAAATTTTTTTGATTTTAAAACGTTTAATACAACATTGTTGAAAATCATAGAGACTGGAAATAGAGTGATCGCCCATAATGTGGCGTTTCCACTGCACTTCATTCGCTCTCTATTCGTTGTTTGACCCATAACTATGAAAAAACTAGTTAATTCTTCACACAAAATTTCCTGAGCGAACACTCATATTTGTACGTTGTTCAAATCAAATCACTCTCAGAACAACGAAAAAATGTCTCCCATCCCTATCAAATGAGAGCATTTATCGAAAAAATAAATTATGACATTTAAAAATTAAAAATAGAAAAATTTAATGAAATTTTAAAAAATTTTGGGAAGACTGAAAGTTATGAATGAAAACTACAATGTTAAATGGCGTATGTACATTCAAACGAAAGTAAATTTTGTTTTCTCTCTCTCGAGGTACGCATTTGGTCCACGAGTTGAAATTTCCACAGAAAACTGCTAACAAAAGAGGCAATATTTTCAAAATGTTTCTATCGGCAGAAAAATGTTTGACAAGTGTCTCTCCAACAGAATTTAAAAATGGAAAAAACAAAAATATGATCAAAATGTCAACATTTACACAAAAAGTTGAAAACGTGAATGAAAATTGTAAAATTAATGATATAATAAATCTTTGGGAGGAAAACAATAATTTCTTCTATTCATATTAGTGAGAATTTCATGTATTTTCGTATAAATTCCCATTAAAATCAACAAACAAAATTTTTGAAAAAAGGAATTATTTTACTATGAATTACGAATCGTGCCGTATGAACGGGTTAATTCGTGTACCTAATTCTGAGAGCGAACAACGTTGTTCGGTTTTCAATGGAAACATGCTATAATGCGTAGTCTAGCGTGCCAAAGAGGGAAATTTGCGATAATAGATGTCCAATCGTTGTTGTCTCTTCATCATCCTTATGCTACGTTCACATGGCACGTGATTCGCTCTCTATTCCTTGTTCGACCATTAATTAAGATATATCTATTTAATTCCTCACACAAAATTTGCTGAGCGAACAAAGATTATAGTTTTTTGTTCCATTGTCCACACTCGGAACTAAGATGAAATGTTTGCCATCTCTAACAAATGAGAGCATTAACAAAAAATAAATTATGACATTTAAAAATTCAAAATAGAAAAATTTAATGGGATTTTAAAAAAAATTGGAAAGACTGAAAATTATGAATGAAAACTACAATGTTGAATGGCGTATGTACATTCAAACGTAAGTAAATTTTGTTTTCTCTGTCATCCACACAGAAAACTGGAAACAAAAGAGGCAATATTTTTAAAATGTTTCTATCAGCGGAAAAAAAGTTTGATATAAAATTTGTTCAAAATGTCAACTTTTACATAAAAACATGAATGAAAATTGTAAAATTAAACGTTTGATGCTTTAAAATTTGATATTGTGTTGGGTCTGTGGTGTACCATTTTTCCTTTTGCTAAATCATCAGCTTTTTCGTTTTTACAGTGACCTGCTACCTAAAAGGTATTTCAGGGTACATTTACTTCTCAGATTTGTATCAACGATTGAAGAAGATACAGGCCTGAGTCTACTGTGAATCCAGGCATATTCTTTGCTCGAAATGTATAGTAGCCTTACAGGAAGTCGTTTATATATAGATAACTTTTATACATCCGTACAAATAAAATGATGAAATTCTATGTATCGGTTTATCTCCTATATGGAATTGCTTTCCGGTTTCACTTATTTCAAATATCCACGAATTTTAGATTTCCATATTACCTAAGCCTACCATATGTTGAATATACAATTTTTCACTGATACTTTATACAAACTTAACATCTCGACTTTAGATCAATTGCATTGTTAATAGTTGAAGTCATGCAACAATTGTTTATGTGTAAATGAAAGTCGAATTCAAATTACACGAATTTTTTGACATATCAAATTGATACCAGCTAGCTGAAAGGGTGCAAAATAATTTGCCTCAAATTTGATATGTCAAGTAAATTCGCCTTGCTTAAATACTACCAGGTATTTCTACCATGGACCAAACTAATATCTTTTGGTTTGGTTGAAGTGAATTCAGTGAAATCAACTGAACCTTATGCCATGTTTACGTTAGAACTTTTTGTAGGTTTAACCTACTTTGAGAGGATTTATTTGAAGTAAAAGTAATGTATATGACAATTTAAATCCAAATCCAGTGGGTTAACCCACATATATATAAACGTACTGTTATACTCGAATCATCATACAACATTAGGTGTGTCTGGTTAATTTTCCTGCAGGAATTGTCCAGCAAAATCTTTCTGAGAGAGTAAGGTGGTTTTATTCTCTTTTGCAAGGAAAATGCGAAAAGTTAACAGACGGTATTTCTGTAAAAGCTTGCAACTAATCAGCTGATTTGTCAAAACAAACCATTTTGTCCCCTATTATTAAAATAAAAATAAAGGAAGCACCACCAATTTTATAAGTTTTTTAAATAAAAAGGAAATTAGCAATTAAACAAAAATGTGAGCAATGAAAGAAAGATAGATTTTATGTGTTCCCCGGAGTCCTTTAAATTTGTTGCTAATGGCGTTTGTCTAAAAACGTTGGAAATAGCCTTTTATTTTCTTATTACATATTAATATTTACGTTTTTCACATTTTGTAAAGTTTATCTGAAAAACAATTAGTCTTGTCATTCCAAAAAAAATATTTTAATATTGAAAGCACAAAAAGAAATAAACAAACAATAGAAAACATCTGATTGAATGTCGATGAATGGGATGAAGAAGAGTTGCAAGTGATTGCAAGAAGAAATAGGTGTGTCTGGTTACCATAAAATTTGTAACAATTGTTACAAATTGTTACTGGAAGTCGTCTGTTAACCCGAAAGTTCTGCAAAAGAGAGCGGTTGGAGAGATAAATTTTGACAGTTCTTTCAGTGAGAGTTTGCAAATTCTTCCTGGACAAATTTCAATCAGATGTTTTCTAATGTTTGTTTAAATTTTTTTGTGCTTTCAATTTGAAAATATTTTTTTGGAATTAGAAAGACTAATTTATTTTTGGAGAACAACTTTACGAAATTAGAAAAACTTAAGTATTAGTATTTAATAAGAAAATAAAAAACTATTTCCAACATTTTTAGACAAACGCCATTAGCAACACGTTTAAAATTTCCGGGGAACCCTTCAAATCTATCTTTCTTTTATTGCTCGTGTTATTATTTTATTGCTAATTTCCTTTTTTATTTCTAAAACTTATAAAATTGGTGGTGCTTTCTTTCTTTCAATTCTTTTGATGGGGGACAAATTGGTTTGTTTTGACAAATCAGCTGATTGCTTGCAAGTTTTTGCAGGGATTCCGTCCGTTTACTTTTCACAGTTTTCTTGCAAAAGAGAATAAAACTACCTTACTCTCTCAGAAAGAAGTTGCTGGACAATTCCTGAAGGAAAAGTAACCAGGCACACCTAATTTGTCCAGCAAGAATTTGCAAACTCTCACTGAAAGAACTGTCAAAATTTCTCTCTCCGATCGCTCTTTTGCAGAACTTTTGGGTTAACAGACGACTTCCAGTAACAATTGTTACAAATCTTAGGGTAACCAGACACACCTATTACCACCTACATTTATTGTCAAACGGTTTTTCGCCTAGAGGAAATAACATTTCAGCAATTTTCTATATTGTCAATTTTGACAAAAAATATATTTGACAATAGGTGTGTCTGGTTACCCTAAAGTTTGTAACAATTGTTACAAATTGTTACTGGAAGTCGTCTGTTAACCCAAAAGTTCTGCAAAAGAGAGCGGTTGGAGAGAGAAATTTTGACAGTTCTTTCAGTGAGAGTTTGCAAATTCTTGCTGGAAAAATTTCTTCTTGCAATCACTTGCAACTCTTCTTCTTCTCATTCATCGACATTCAATCAGATGTTTTCTATTGTTTGTTTATTTATTTTTGTGCTTTCAATTTGAAAATATTTTTTTGGAATTAGCAAGACTAATAGTTTTTGGAGAAAAACTTTACAAAATGTGAAAAACGTAAATGTTAATATGTAATATGAAAATAAAAGACTATTTCCAACATTTTTATTTAAAAAACTTGTAAAATTAGTATTGCTTCCTTTGCTTTAATTCTCCTTATGGGGGACAAATTGGTTTGTTTTGACAAATCAGCTGATTAGTTGCAAGCTTCTGCAGGAATACCGTCTGTTTACTTTTCGCATTTTCCTTGCAAAAGAGAATAAAACTACCTTACTCTCTCAGAAAGAAGTTGCTGGACAATTCCTGCTGGAAAAGTAAACAGACACACAATTAGTTTTAAAGCAATGTCGTGGATATTTTGAACGTTCAGCATACTTTCGCTGTACGATGGTTATACTAAAACGTGTACCTCAATTTCAAAGAATTCGTTTGGATAGTCATTCAAATACAGAATATTGAAGGTACAGTTATATGAAGACCATAACAAAACGTAAATAGCCAATTTATCAAAAGAGGCGGAAAAGACTGCAAGTGCAATGTAACCAGCAACAGAGGAAAATACCCGTTACGAACATCCAATATTTAATGAAAAAATATGGAGAAACAAGGATATAGGCCAACTTCCAACTTATCCTCCATGCCAACCAACGACTTCCTTAGTTCGTTTGAACTCTACCGTGACTACAACAGATGTCAAATCAACTTAGAAAATTTCGCATTATTTTGATGAACTGCGAACTTAAAATACCCTCCATTATGTGTGGGAGTGTATAAATAAAACAAATTAAAACTTTTCTCTTTTATTTTTTTTAATATTTATTTCAGATATTTAGTATTGCACTTAATTACACAAAACTTAAACCATAACGCATAATATCTCCTTGTTTATATTCCCTCATATTGGACTTCAAACGTAACGAAAAAAGGTAAAGCTTTTCAATCATACCTAAGATGGAGAAGTACATGAGCAAACCACAAATACCAAAACAATTTACTAACATCGGTTCCACTGTATAACCCCGAAATAATAGATTTTCTTTAAAATAAAACGATGTGACATCTTTTAAAAAGTTATCTTTTCCATATTATGCTAACCAAAATAAGATTCAGAAATTTCTGTATTTTATTTCAATGAATTGCTGGCCGTTTACTTTCACATTGAGGTATCGTACGCACCTACATTTCTCAGTGTCCGCTGAGGTGGTAATAATATTTGGCTTGACAACAATTAAAATCTCTTTGCCCATGGGTGCATTGTCGTAACAATTGTTTAGACGCCAAAGAAAAAATTTCGGATGCATTTAGTAACGCCATAATGCCCTGAATGGACGACGATACCCATATTCCAGCTTCTTTTTGAAATATTTTAAGTCTTTAAGAAGATCTGCTCTGGCCCCCGGCTGGTGTGCAAACTGCTATCCAATGAATGAATATTCCTGTTCCAAAGACAACTCAATGAACGATTTAGTTTTGGAAAATGATACTGCATTATACTATAGTATAGAATTTGATAATTGTTTTTATTTGGACGGAATCTGGCCCTCAGTCAAATTTACCATTTAGATATTGAGTGGACCTAAAAAATATATCCTTAAGTTTTGTCTAGTTAGAAAATAGTAAAATTTATTCTTCCGCGGACAATATTTATCAAAATATTGTACACTGGGGTTGATGCATTGATACAATATTTAAGATAAATTTGTTTATATCCTGCTAGAGAGATTTTTTGAGTGATTCTTGTCCATTACCGACGGCGATTAGCTCTTTCTCATTTGAAATTGTTATATGTCAAAGTCATGGTAAAATTAAGAAGGTAAAGTCATTTCAAATAAGCATATCCATCTCTGCATTTTCTGTAATATACCTTATCAAATTTAACTACATAAAAACAGGTTTCCATCTCTGATTTGTGTATATACAATGGATTTATAAATACAAATTTCGACATTGTGATGTCAAATGAATAATTTTTGAAAAAAAATGTAGACATATGATTGTTTGACTCCACCTCCTTGATTCTACCATGGTCACCGTTTATATACTACATACAGAATACTTTAAAATAATTGAAAACACAATCGAAAGTAAATATTATCATTAGTAATTTGACACCTATTGAAGTTGTCTGGCGAATTCAAATTATGTTAACATCAAATGTAGGTATCAGCTGGGCTTGCTTGTCGACCTTATAATGGGCCATGGATAAGAACATGCACAATTAATTTGGCATGTTTAGCCAGACAAATAAAAAAAATTAAAATAAATCAGTGTCCTACCTTGATTTCATGATGACAACTACATATCCTCCGCATTACTTGTTTATTTGTAATACAATAAAGACCGAGTTGATGTAAGAACATGTAGACGATTATTTTCTGCCTTAAGTAATTGCCTGCCTTTTTGTAAAATGACACATGAGCAGCTTGACATCATGTAGTGGTATATTGAAGTCATATTATAAGGGAAAACTAAGGGAGGATTCTAGTCGGCTCTGATATCCCTTTGTGATACGTCTCCAAATATGCGATGTCATGATGCCAAGCTCTCTACGTATAATCTTAAGAAAAACTGGCATCAACTTTTAAGTTGGTAAATTCTCATGTCTGTTTACTGTATCACCTTGTAAATCGTTGTCATATTTTAAAATAAATTTATACAAAATTATACCTTTACTTATTTCTAGTGACCATATTTTTTATCTGTGATATTTTTTGTTGTCCGTCTACGGAGTTTACTTAGCATTTGCCTAATGATAATTCTTTATTTAATATGTTTGTGAAATCTTCGTTCGTATAGTTCTTATTCCTTCTAAACAATGTATCCAAAATGCGTGCTTTACATTTACCAATGTTCATAATGGAGTACCAATCATCATAATTTGATACCTTTGCATACATTGATGGATAGACTGGGTCGTGAGCACATTGATAATGTCTTTCAGATGCCATAAGACTCTCGCTCTTTCTTTTCTTTAAGTCATGCACATGTGAGCAAACGGCACATTCAAAACTTTGAAACAAATCACCGTTATGCATTGCAGTCTTTCGCATGTTGAGATCATTTAGAAGACGTTTATTAGTAATAGGCTGCAGCATGTTGTATTTATGGTTTAAATATGAATTATAAGCTCGATCGTCGGCATCTAATTCCTTAAGATACATTGCTAGGGATTCAGGACTTTTGAAATCTCTTACATCTATAAACGACTTTTCATTCGGTGACCAATCCTGAAAGTGAAGAACTATTATTTTATTCTTAACCATATTTAAATGCAAATATAATACTTTTATAGAAGGTGATCCGTAATAAATAGGTATTGATCCCGCTATGAGAGGCCTCCAAAATTTTTCTGTTATGTAATCCTCACAAACTCCATTTTCATACGATATTACAAATTTATAGCGACCTATGAATTTTAACAGTTCCGGCGCATATAGGTTGTTTAAATAGTCGTGCTGTAATTTCTGCAATCTTTATTAGAGAAATATTATTATTCTTTGTTTTTTGTATGTCTTTTTGATCAATGTGTACCTGTCTGGCAAATTTCGATTTTTTAAACAGGTTCCAAATGAGTCAACTTTAATGTAATTCATCAATTCCTTCACGTAGTCATCACGCCCAGACATTGTATCACAGTCAGACTGAATGAATAGAACTAAAGCATGATCTTTGTAACGTGATTTTTCTCCTATTGGTATTGTATAGGTGGGACAGGTCAAGTTTTCAACATTAGTCAAATAATAAGTTGTCAATGGCACATTACTATTTCGACTGAATGTTGATGTAAAATTGAAATGCTGTAGCCAATCATTATATGGCATAAATGGTACATTTCTTGGCGATTCCTCGTGTATCAAAGCCCATATGTGATGAGGCAGGCGTGGTAGAGGGAAATCATCAGTTTTAACGTTTGATCCATAAAATAAAATTGCCTAAGGCATAAAAATGTATGTATTAGACAAAAATAGCAATTCAAAGATTCTAAAAAGATATTTTTTTATTTTAAACTAATAAATGTGAGCAGTTTACTACCATGTTTTTCCGTTTACGCTTAATAGAAATCTTTTTCCATCTTTTATGTTGGTAAAATTTTCCAACTTGGTTTGCTCCGTACCAGTGTTTATACTACAATATCCGATTTTCTCTTTATGATATCTAAAAAAATAAAAAAATAGTAGATTCTTGCAGGTTCAGGGACAGAGCAACAATATGTTCGTACTAAAGTGACTGAAATATATTTATGCTATTACATTAATTGTGACAACTAATTTTGAGCCATATAAAAAAACCTTCCTTTTAATACATTTAAAAGAACACTGGCCCATGGCATAATTACAGAAGGTAGAACAAAGCTAGCCCCTAAATACAATTTTTTCTTTTGCTGCCCTTATTCTATCAAAAAATATACACATTTTTTGTATGGGTTTGTATTGCTTTGAATAATAAATACAATAATTTCAAATTCGACTGCAAAATAAATGCATATTTTCGACGTTAATGGACAGCACATTGTACAATTTTGGGATATTGTCCTAAAATTTTAGATTCAATCTTGTGCTTTGGTTGCTTAATTTCAAAGGAACTAGAAAAATACAACTATGTGCTGAAGTCTTTTAGTGTCAAATAGACTTTTAAATATGCAACAGTTGGTTTTGTTTATTTTTCATTTTTTTCCACAAGATTGAATCTAAAATAGTAGGACAATGCAGTTTTATCACAAAATTGTGCAATTTGTTACCCGTTAACGTCGGAAGTATTTATTTTGCAACCGAATTTGAAATAATTTCAAAAAAAAAAAAATTATTCAAAACAATACACACATACACAAATTGTGTATTTGTTTTGACAGAATAAGGGCACCAAAAAAATTGAATTTAACGTCGGAAGTATTTATTTTGCAACCGAATTTGAAATAATTTCAAAAAAAAAAAAATTATTCAAAACAATACACACATACACAAATTGTGTATTTGTTTTGACAGAATAAGGGCACCAAAAAAAATTGAATTTAGGGGTTCTGTAATTGTCATGGTAGACTACATAAAGAACATATATTTATAATCAGCATAAAATTCTAATTCGATTTATAGTGTCAATTAGACTTTTGAATATGCAAAAGTTGGTTTTGTTTATTTTTCATTTTTTAACAAAATTCTTATACTGGGGAAAAATGGCGAAACAAGAATGGAATTGTGGGGTTATTCCACAAGATTGAATCTAAAATAGTAGAACAACACAGTTTTATCCCAAAATTGTACAATGTGTTGCCCTACAACCTCGAAAATGTCCATTTATTTTGTTACCGAATTTGAGAAAATTTCATGGTACAATGAAGAGAAGGTAGGTCAACTTTGAAAAAATTGCAAGTATAGAGGTCTACCTGTTTGGCTTGTAATGTCAGAATTAGTATCAAAGCAATACAAACTCAAACAACTTGTTGCATTTATTTTGAATAAATAATTGAAAAACGCGATAATTGAATGAAAGGTCAACACTTCTTTTCAAAATTATGTACTATATATCTCTAAAGGATTATTTCGCATGGATGCATGGTACAATGATATCAAGGTAGGGCTATGATACCATATTATTTCAATTTTTTTATTTTCTTGGCTTAATATGTCATCTTTATTTGTTTATGTATGTGTTTTCTTTTCAATAACAAAAAAATTGATCAGAAAATATTAAAATTCGGATGTTTTCAAAATGTTTATTTCAACGTAAGCATCGACAAAATCTAGAGTTTTTGTAGCGAAATAATCCTTTAGAGATATATGGAACCTGGTTTTAAAAAGAAGTGTTGACCTTTCATTCAGTTATCGCGGTTTTTTAATTATTTATTCAAAAATAAATGCAACAAGTTGTTTGATTTTTAATTGTTTCGATACTAATTTTGACATTACAAGCCAAACAGATAGACCTCTATACTTGCAATTTTTTCAAAGTTGACCTACCTTCTCTTCATTGTACCATGCATCCATGGTACAATGAAGAGAAGGTAGGTCAACTTTGAAAAAATTGCAAGTATAGAGGTCTACCTGTTTGGCTTGTAATGTGAGAATTACTATCAAAACAATAAAAAACAAACAACTTGTTGCATTGATTTCCAATAAATAATTTAAAACCTCGAAAACTAAATGAATGGTCAAAATTTCTTTTCAATATCATGTTCTATATATCTCTTATGGTTCATTTCGCGACAAAAACTGTAGATTTTGTCGATGCATTCGTTGCAATAAGCATTTTGAAAACACCCGAATTTGAATATTTTCTGAACAATTTTTTATTATTGAAAAGAAGACACACACATAAGCAAATGAAGTTGTCATATTAAGCCAGAAAAATAAAAAAAATTAAATCATATGGTAGTTCTGCCCTACCTTGAATTCATTGTACCATGCATACATCCACAAAATGTGTATATGTTTTGACAGAATAAGGGCACCAAATGAGAAAAATGTATTTAGGGGGTACCTTTGTTCTACCTTCTGTAATTGTGCCATGTGTCCACGTTTTGGATAGCCAAATAAAGGCACTTCCCGATATTCGGTATTTCAATTTTTTCGCCAGTAGTACGTAGTACGAAATTGTTTCAAATTTCGGCCCGACCGAACTTAATGTGTTTTACTTGTTTTTTTTTTCTGACATTTTCATTCGTATTTCGGAGAAAAATATGTCCAAATACGTTTCTGTATAAAATTTCAAAATAGAAAATTTTAACATTAACAATTGAACAATTTATTTTTTTTGTGTGCTACAAAAAGGAATAAAAGAGACGAAAAAGGTGAATGTTTGTAATTGGAAAATATAACAATGGGATGAATGTTAAAAATGATAAATTTTTACAAGGTTATTAGTCGATAGATTATAAGAAATGTATCAGCGGTATTTGAGTAGTAACAAATTAATAACTAGTAAGTTCGGCCGGGCCGAACTTTGAATGCCCTCCACCATATGAAACGAATTTGAGAATTTTTAAAAAAATAAAATCCATTAAAAATTCTGTTGAAATCTTAAAAACACCGAATATAGCCGATATATTGGTGTCTCTACGACGTGAACCTGCATAGGCTTTGTTTGTCATAAGTTATTACCATATTCAATTTCGAAACTTGAAATAAACGGTGAATAATGTAGCTAAAAATCATCAAAATACCGAATATCGGGAGGTACCGTTATATGGTGGCTGTATGAAAACGAGGACCCACATGGCCCATTTACGAACTTAACGTGCCTACTGGCAAAATATATACGTCTGCAAAATTTTAACATTCTATCTCAATTCGTTCGAATGATAGCGTGATTACAACAGACAGACGGACAGGCAGACAGACACAAAAAAGGACATCGAAATAGCTGATCAAGAATATATATACTTTGCTGGGTCTTACATGAGTATTTCGAGGAGTTACAAACGGAATGACAAAGTTAATATACCCTCCATAGTATGGCGGAGGGTATAAAAATATACTTTGTTTTGCGTTTTCATTCCAATACTTGGCAATTAAAAAACAACAGCAAAATTATCTGTATTTTGTTTCTGCTTTCTTGGAATTCGCACTGCTCATCTAAATGACTAACTGTACTCACTTCACTCCGTTCATAATCCCGTCATTCTACGTAAACAATAAGATATGTAACAATTTGTATTTTTTATTCATCAATGTCGTAAAAGATACGAGCTGCCTTTATAATAATAAGGCTAATAAAAATTTAACGATAAGTGGTACTGATTTTTGTCCACATACATAATCCCTAAAACCTAAGTAAAAGTAGCACACCATGCTGAAAATTACATTAAACATACTTACGCCAGCATCGCCCAATTTGTCCCTTTTTGTTGTAAATCTGCAAATGTTACTTAGGTCACAAATTCTCCTCGATTCATAACCACCTTCCACCAATGGTGTCCACCATATTATCAGCGGAACATCACTTGCAGACTCCAACGTCTCCAAATGGGGCTTCCCATTGTTTTCGGATGGAAGGATTTGGCATACGGCAAAAAGAAAGCCAATAATAGCCAAAGCAATTAACAGTTTCCTCCATCTACTGAAATGCAAATGGATCATTTTCCTGGAACGCAAGATATGTGTATATGTGCAGTCGTATTTTTCTCTGATTGGCCCGTATTTTTGTCACGATACAAGCTTTTAAAACAAAATGCTACATCATTGACAGTTAATTTTAGTTCCCTCTTTAGTCTTTCTAGCGATTAATTAACCACTTCTTCAGTGTTGCTGGATTTGAGTCGACTTTGTTTATTTGTATTTAATGTTTATCAGCATTGACGTTGTTTCACTTATCAATATGTACTCAGTTTGCCGTGAATGATAGCACAAAACAAAAACAGCTGTTTTTATGACCAAACAAATCGTAATAGTGATGGAAATTTTATTAAAATTGTATGAAATATTACGGCTTAAGTTGAGTTCAGGGGCTATGTTCGGATTGACCTGAAATTTTTACGACGTGTAGATCTTTTTAACCGGATTACGGCAAGGTAATTTTTTTGGGGGGAAATATCCGGTTACCAGGTTATTCGACCCGGAAGTTCGGATACAAAATCCGGGTTTTATCCGGTTGTACAAAATGGGTATCATTTGAAAGCTTATGGAAATACCATTCTAAAAAGTGGTTATATGGTGGGTTGGTTTCCGGAGTAATACAAAAAATTGGTATTTTTGTACCGAAACTTTTTGAAAAACCCATAAAAAGTCATGGGGTATTAGAAACTGCATACTACATTGTAGGCTACGATCTGGCCTTTCCAAAAAGGTGCTATAGGTATTGATATCTCTTGTAGGTCCGAAGATATTAGTCTTGTAAATCATGAAATTGAGATTTCCTCCACTAATATGTATCTTTTATAGCTTTGTAGTTCCGAAGATATTGACTTTAAAGTCGAATTCTAGCTACTTACAAATTATAATATTTACAAAAACTATGGATCGCGTAGCCGGTGTTGGACATACCCTAGTGGAGAAAATCTCAAGCCCCGGCCGAAGGCCAGCTACTTACGAAAGTTACAATGTTTACTAAAACTATGGATCGCGTAGCCGGTGTTGCACATACCCCAGAGGAGAAAATCTCAAGCCCCGGAAAAGGCTGGCTACTTACAAAAACTATAATGTTTAGAAAAACTATGGACCGCGTAGCCGGTGTTGGACATACCCCAGAGGAGAAAACCACAAGCCCCGGCCGAAGGCCTGCTACTTAAAAATGCTTTGATACATATTAGTGGATAAAATCTCAATTTAATGATTTGCATCACATATATCTTTGAACTATAAGAGATATCAGCACATATGATACCATTTTGGAAAGGCAAGAATATAGGCTATAATTTAGCATGTAGATCTTAATACCGCATAATGGGTCTATTTTCGAGTTTTTAGGTGTTTTTCAAAAAGTACTGGTATAAAAATACCAATTTTCTTGCATTACTCCGGAACCAATAACCTTATCATATGACAATTTGTTCGATACCAATTTGGTACATAAGGGTTTTGTAGGACCAGACAAAAACTTTATTTTGTATTCGAACTTTCGGTTCAAATAACCGGGTAACCCGGTATTTCCCCCACGAAAAAATTACTTTCCCTTAATCAGGTTAAAAAAAACACCTGCCGTGAAAATTTCAAAATGATCCGAGCATAGGCCCTAAACTCAAGTTTGCAAATTCTTCCTGGGAAAGTTTATAATCATTTATTTTATTTGTGTGTTCTTTTTGCAACTTTCTCTCTTTTTTTTTTGGTTTTCATTGTGTGTTCGAAAATTTCTTTTTCTAAGAACACGTCTGAATTTCCCTGACCTTGGTTTATATTAAATTAGAATATCATTATGAAATGAGTGCAAGATAGGATACAGCTACGAATCATGTTCTTATTTGTATGGCTGGTAATAGAAGTAAAAAATATATAAAACAAGTTAAAAAGCAGTAATTTCGGCCGGGTCGAACTTTGAATACCCTCCACCATTAGAACTAATTTGGAAATTTTCAAAAAATAAAAACCGCCAAAAATTTTGTTAAAATCTTAAAAATACCGAACATAGCCGTTATATTGGTTTTATACGACGTAGACCTACATTGTTGTCATAAGCCATTACCATTTTCAAATTCGAAACATGAATAAACGGTGAATAATGTAGCTAAAATCATCAAAACACCGTACATAGGGAGGTACCGTTACATCGGAGCTATACGAAGACCTGGACTTGCATAGATAATTTTCTGTTATAGCCTGTAGCATCCATTACGAACTTCAAATACGACATCTCCAACAATTTCGGTGAGTATTGTATCTGAAATCGTCAAAATACCGAATATAGGGTGGCAGTTATATGTGGGGCCTATACAAAGTCCTGCACCTGCATAGACAACTTTCTGTCATAGGCTGAAGTATTCATTACGAACTTCAAATACCAAATTTGAAACAATTCCGGTGAATAATGCGCTAAAATTATCAAAATACCGAATATCGGGAGGTACCGTTATATGGGGCTATACGCAGACGTATACAGACAATTTTCTGTAGTATCTCTTTGGAACTTCAAATACCAAATTTGAAACAATTTCGGTAAATAATGTCGCTAAAATCATCAAAATACTGAATATCGAGAGGTCCCGTTGTATGGGGGCTATATGAAAACGTGGACCTACATGACCCATTTACGAACTTAACCTGCCTACTGGCAAAATAAACATGTCTGCAAAATTTTAGCCTTCTATCTCGATTCGTTCGAAAGATAGCGTGATTACAACAGACAGACACACCGAAAGACAGACGGACATCGCAAAATCGACATAGAATTTTACGCTGATCAAGAATATATATATTCTTTTTTTGGTCTTACATGAGTATTTCGAGGAGTTACTTACGGAATAACAAATTTAATATACCCTCCATAGTATGGTGGTGGTATATAAATTACTAGGAATATCCTTTTACGTTGAAATATTACTTGTAAAATATTCGGTTGTAACAAGAATTCTTATTACAACGTACGAGTGTGTATAGACAAATGACCTATTCCGGAACTACAATAATGTAAAAGTTTTTACTACGATAACCGATTTTTATAACCTCCACCATAGTATGGAGGGTATATTAAGTTTGTAACACCTCGAAATATACATTTTAGACCGCACAAAGTATATATATTCTTAATCAGCATAAAAATCTATGTCGATTTATGAAGTAGGTTGATAAAATTTTACTCAAATGTTTATTATGTCTGTCTTTTGGTATTGAAAATGGGCCATGTAGGTCCACGTTTTCGTATAGCCCCCATATAACGGTACCTCCCGATATTCGGTATTTTGATGATTTTAGCGACATTATTTATCGGAATTATTTCAAATTTGGTATTTGAAGTTCGTAATATATACTACAGCATAAAACATCAAATGGGCCATGTAGGTCCACGTCTTCGTATAGCCCCCATATAACGGTACCCCCGATATTCGGTATTTTGATGATTTTAGCGACATTATCTACCGAAATTGTTTAAATTTTGGTATTTGAAGTTCGTAATGGATACTACATCCTAATGCAGAAAATGAGCCATGTAGGTCCACGTCTTCGTATAGCCCCCACATTGGGTAGCTCCCCATATTGGATATTTTGATGATTTTAGAGACATTATTTACCGGAACTATTTCAAAGTTAGTATTTGAAGTTCGTAATGAATACTACAGCCTATGACAGAAAACTTTCTATGCAGGTCCAAAGTATTCAAAGTTCGCCCCGGCCGAACCTACAGCTTTTTACTTGTTTCTTTATAATATCACAAAAAAACATGGTAGCTTATAACAGGTTCTGGAACAGAGCAAAATTTTTCTCATTTTATGAGCCAATAAATCTTAAGTTTTCATTCGGTTCCTGCGCCTATTATTTATTTGCTTAGAAAATATTATAAAATAGCTAGTTGTATTTTTTTAATGGTAACTCTAGCATTAAAATCCTTACAGGATTCTTAGATCTGTGTGTTCATGGTTCCATATTTAAATGTATCCTTCTAAAATAAAACATGATCGATATGCAATAGAGAGATTCAGTTAGTTAGACCAAAGCTGACCAAACTAGTAAACTCTTTAGCCATTCGTTACAAAAAACAGCGTTGGCAATACGAAATGTCAAGATTACTCCCTCTAAATTACACAAATAATAGCGTTAATATTAGTTACTATTTTCAACATAATTTGGTTCAACATACATTGAATTGTAACATGGTAAAAGAATGCAGGTAGTCGCATAGACACAGCTGCCGGAACAATAAGCTGTCAAACCAATTTTGAAATTGACAATTTTTAATGAAAAATTATTCTTTTTTTCTTTTCGTTGAAACAACTTTAAAACTAACAAAAAAATGCTGCTATTCCTCCTGACAATTACGATGACGACGATGATGTTGTTGCCTCTCCAAGGTATTCAACTATGAATAAAAAGCCAAAAACAACTGGCTCTCACCATAGAGCTGAAATGGATAAAGTGCCCCGTAGACGATCAACATGCATGACATCAAAATCGTGAACGTGTGCATGAAGCTTTCAGCGGCCCATGCATTCATTTTGCTTTTGATTTCGTGCTGTGTAGACAATGTCGATTTTTGGTCATGTGCTTAGAAAATAAAGAAAACGAAAATAGTAAGAGAAATAACAGAATCTGTATGAAAAAGTAGTACAAAAGATTGAATTCACTCTCGAAAAATTCAAATATTTTAGAATGAATAGTTTCACTTACGAGGTATTACTAAGCCTGGTTTAGTCTCTAATTAATGTTTCAGTATTTCGGTATTAATACTTCATATTGATTTTCTTTAATAACCCGACTGCTATATTTATCACATTTGTGGCAAAGTGGTGACAACAACCGGTAAACTTCCAACAACTCAAAAACATTTTTTCTCAGTATTCGACATCTGCATGCACCCACTCGCATTGAAAAAAAAAAAAAAACGTCGCAAATGAGAAGGATCTCACCGTTGGAATGTTAATACCAAAATTTTAAAACGTTTTTCAAAAATAAGTCGATTTTTATAAGTTTTCTTATACGATATCAATCGGAGGTTATATAATATGCATTTTTCAACAATTTTTACAAATGTTAATCATTTTTCATTCAAAATTTTTAGCTGCTTTCTTCTCCCATGGTTAATACGTTTTGCTCTAAATGCGTAGAGATGTGCAAATTGCAATGGTGACCATCCAGTAACAACACCAGAATGTCCTAGTCGTTCTAAATATATAAATATATAGAAATTAGGAAACGTTATGAAACTCATAGTGATAAAATAATGCTTATCCAATTCAATAGAGCTAGGAATTTCAAATTTAAACCAACAACTTTAAACCAACAATTAGACCACAATGTTCCAGTTTGGACAAATCATCAATCTAACAATCAACCTCACTCTTGAACTAACATTAAACTTAAGTAAATGTAAGTCTAAAGCTGACCAAATTGAGGTCATCGCAAGATTAGATTGCAAGTTTTTATATTATGAAATGCCAAATGCAAAAGATTGTGATGTTAGCAGAGAATGCGGGGTGACGATACTTATTAGGAAAACAATTCAACACCAGTTGATTCCACCACGGAACACGTCTAATATAGAAAGTATTCATATAAAAATATGCAGTGGTAACGGGACCATATATATCTACAAATGTTATTTTCCTGGAGAGGTGACTGAAGGAACAATACGTGGGGAAATATGCTTCATAAAAATCTTCAATACAATAACTTGGGAATAGTTTTGCCCCTCAGCAATCATTTATAATAGCGCATCCAAGAATGCGACCGTCTAACATTGATATTTTTTTGAGAAATTTCTCACAGCATTTCCAAAAAGCTATTAACGATTTATGTTCCGATCACTTACCAGTAACGGTTAACAGTCTTGTGACCCAAATGCAATCTATGAATTGAAGCATTGATGAAAACTACTTGATAAGCATAGAACATACTGAAAGCTTACTAAAAAGAAACTAGAAAATCGTCTACATTAAATTCATTCTTAAAGAGTTCCTACTTTCCTACGGTTTGGGAAGGTCAAAAATAATCCCATTACTAAAATCAAATAAGCCTCCATATTACCCTTCCTCTTATGGACCAATAAGTATTGGAATATTCCAGAACCTACTATTTTCTCTAATATAAAGGGAAAATCGGTTATCGTAGTGAAAACTGTTACATTCTTGATGTTACTGATAGTTCTGGAACAGACCATATATTGTTGTCATTGAGTAAAATATTAGAATCCACATTAAAAGATAAGGTACTGCAATTTATAAACACAAAAGAAATTGGGTTCAGAAGATAACATAATACAGCTCACCCTCTTTCGAGATTTAAACAGGTGGACCTTGAAAAATTTAAAGCTGGACAGGAATGGTTCTGTTGAACCTAAAAGCTGCTTTTAACTCGGTCTGGCATAACGGACTCATCTATAAATTAAAATTTCCTTATAATAATTATTCAAAGCTTTCTAAATTAAAAATTATTTGTCTTAACTCCAGTTTAGTAAAACCTCTTCAACTGTTTTTTTTAATTTTTCCAGTGGTAGTGTTGGAGAGTTTTTACTAGATTTGGGATTTGAACCGCGGACCTCTGTGTGCAGCCAACTAGAAGTTGCCATCTCTACGTTCAGAGCCATTAATCCGTCTTCCTAAAGCAGCACTAAAACAAGTGTATGCATTGGAAGCAATGTAGTTGTTGTGGACAAAAAATCCATCACTACAAAAACAAAACGTTGCTGTGAAAAAGATCTGCCAATAGAACTTGAGTCGAACCTGGAGAGTTTCTAGTGTATAATTCGCATATGCTAATTTGCAATAAGTTCGAAATATATACTACTTTCCAGAGAACGGCCCTTGTAAGCCATCATCCATATCAAATATGCCTGATGAGCCGCTTAACCAACGGCGAAACGCGTCGCATAGTGGTGAGTGTGTGACAGTGTCTATCTGGCTTTCCTTTTCACTGCAAATTTCAGATCATTAAGCTCGTCTCGAAAGAGAAAACAAACACTTAAATCATAAAACATATGATCTTCGCCTTAACAAGGCAAATATAATAATGATAATATTTTAAATAATTTAGAGTCAGCTCTACGTGAACTCAACAATAATTAAAAATGGAAAATTTTATTAATTTCAGAAAAAAACGGAACCATATTCTTCACTAGACAATACAGTCTTATCCCAAATGTCTTATCCAAAAATGTACCATTATTTTGCAACCGAATTTGAAATAATTTCAAATTTTTGTATTTTTATTCAAAACAATACACACACACGTACAGAAAATATGCATTTGTTTTAACAGAATAAGGGCACCAAAAGAAAAATCGTTTCGTTCTGTATTTTCTCGAAGTACGAAACAAAACCGATATTAATATAACGGGACTTGTTTCTTATTTTGTACTGTGTAGGTGAGTGGAAACAAAAACAGAACTGAAATGTACTCTGCTGGGTGACGCAACTTTGGGAACGAAACAGTACAATAATCATTGCAAACGTACAAATAATGTAAAGACTAACTAAAAAGTTAAAAAGTTAAATGTTTATGTTTATTAAATAATTTTTAAAAGTTAGTTGCTTCCAAGGAACATTTATTAGGTCGTGTAAAGGTCGAATAGAATTAGGTGTGTCTGGTTACCCTAAAATTTTTAACAATTGTTACTTTTAACACAAAAGTTCTGCAAAAGAGAGTTACTCGAAAGAGGAATTTTGATAGTGCTTCCACTGAGTGTTTGCAAATTCTTTCTGGACATATTTCTTCTTGCTATCATTTGCCATTCTTCTCCTTCCGGTGCTTTAGGTTTGGGTAAGCACATTTAAAACATATATATTTTAGTAATCACAAGCCTAATTGTATAGTCTTCCGGCTTAATTTAAATTTGTTTGTACTTCATTTCTTTTTATTGCTTCGTTTTTCATAAATCTGCTGAGTATAAAAGAGAATGAAACTCTCAGAAAGGAACTACTAGACAGTTACTTCAGGAAAATAACCAGACAGGCCTATTGTATAATGAAGGCTTGTCATTTTTTTTTTGGCGAATTCCAAATATAAACAAATGTATTTTGTCGGAATGGGCGAAATCAGCTGGGCTAATGGGACGACCTATTTAGTGGGCCTTGGTTGCTTCGTGAGATGGTACGTTAATCGTTTCGTTTGTTTCGGTTCGCTGCTATCATGCCCCAATATGGTCTTTATCAACGAGATGTCACATTGATAAGATACAGGTTTGCAAAACAAGCTGCCTCAAATGATTTTCAACCTTCCCTAGTTTTATCCATGGTAGACCTAAGAAGGCAAAGTCACGTAATCATATGTTTACAATTTTTTTTTCAAATTTTTACATTTGACGACATCTCAATGTCAAAATCTATGTTCATAAATCCATTGTATACACACAAAATCAGAGTTGGGAAGTGTTTTTATGCATTGAAATTTGAAAAGGTAAATTACAGAAAATGCAAAGGTGGGAATGCGAATTTGAAATCAGCTTACCTTTATTTCATAATACCATGGTAGCATAAGAAGGTAAAGTCATGCAATCATATATTTACAATTTTTTTTAATTCATTCATTTAACATCTCATTGTCAAAATGTATATTTATAAATCCATTGTACATACACAAATCAGAGATGGGAACCTGCTTTCAATGCAGTGAAATTTGACAAACTAAAATATAGAAAATTCAAAGATGGGTATGCTTATTTGAAATGAATTTACATTCTTAATTTCAAATTGATATAAGATAGATTAACCGTCCAGACGACAAACTAAATTAAAGAAAATGCAAAGATTGGAATGCTTATTTGAAATGACTTTACTTTTTTAATTTTACCATGGGTTGTATTCTACGAGAAGGTACACTCTCTAACGGCGTTTAAATTGATACGCGATAGATTAACAGTCCAGCTGCGTAGATACGAATACTCATGGGCCAAGTATTATGTCCCCCTTCCACGTTAGTTGACTACTGAATGTTATGTCAAATGCATTATTGTGATTAAGATCACAGAACATAAGATAAACAATAACCAAAAAAGTGTAAAAAAAATTTGACATTACATCAGGTTTTTAATATTTGAGGGAACACCTTGTTATTGCCATGCGACTACCTATTATATGTGCCTTGAACTAAAACGTTCATTCGAACTGTACAACTCTAATTCTAATAGAATTAAAACTGTCTATAAAATGGGTAAAAGAGCTGCCGGGTTCGTAATATTTAGAAGATTACGAGATGAAGTTGAGTATTTACTACTCAAAGCATCGTATGGTGATTTTCACTGGAGTTCCCCGAAGGGACACGTAGATCCAGGCGAAGATGACTATGCAACGGCTGTCAGAGAAACTCAAGAGGAAGCTGGGTGAGTTTTAATCTGCTCTTGTCATATCTTATAAACTAATGCATTTAATATTCAGATATTCCGAAGACGACCTTATTATTTACAAGGACAATCCAATAACTTTGAACTATGAAGTAAGAGGGAAACCAAAATCAGTAATTTATTGGTTAGCTGAATTAAAAGATGTATCCAAAGAACCTGTACTTTCAGAAGAACACACAGAACTGAAATGGTTGAATAAAGAAGCCGCTAAAGAAATTGTGGGTTATAAGGACAATCAACAAATGATTGAAAAATTTCATGAAACTATTTTAAAACTAAATAATAAATCAAACTGAGTAGACAATCTAATGAAATAGTATTTAATTCCTAGATAGCAATTTATATTCCACCGATTTGTAGTTTTGAAGTTTGTGGTTTTGTTGGAGTATGAAACAATTTAAAAACAAGTAAAAAAGCTTCAATTTGGAAGAAACATGCAAATTGTAAAAAAAAATCCGTTGAAAAATTTATGCACCCAATTATCTACCAGAGAAGGTGTTGCCTATTATAAACTCCAAATACAACGTTTGAGACAACTTTGTTAAAAAATGTAGTAAAATATCGTAGGTTCATATTATTATTTTCCAAATTTGAAATAATTCCATTGAAAAATCGAAAATAAAATATCGAATATATGGAGGTGGCATTGTATAGAGATTATACAATTATAGAAGGTGACACCTGGACAATTCTATGCAGGGATGTTTGCTACATACTGGAAACACAGACTACTAATTAACAGCCTGCAGACCTAAAATAAATCTGAGTAAAATTTTATCAACTTACTTCATATCGTTCGGAAGCTTGAATGGTTTCTGACGGATGGACATAGCTAAATCGACATAGAATATTTTGCTGACCAAGAATATATATTCAATTTGTTGGATGTAAAATTTATATTTTGAGGTTTTACAAACGAAATGACAAAAATATGTAAGAAAAAAGAACAGAAGTCGAGCTGGTCAACAATCAGACACCCAAGGCGACTAAGCATATTTAGCCACAGTAACGAATATGCGTTTATATTGATAATTTGTGTGAAGTAAATCATAGCAACTATAATCGTATTAGGGTGCGTTTTTACAAATTCACAGGATTTTAAATTTGAAATCAGATTTAATTATAGCTGCATATCAATAAATATATTCGTGGCAAATAACCCGCGGTAGAATTATTTGAAGGTAGAAATAAAACTACAACATATATAATCCAACAACCGTATAGAAATTTGTTATTGTAAGTAATGTCATAGACAAATTAAATATATACAACAAAATGCTCTCACCGTTTATATTTGGAAAAAAATCGGATCAGCAGATGTCGTCTATACCGTTTCAGGGGTTTGAGTGATAATATTGAAGTCACTCAATTCTAAAACGTTAAAAATAACGAAAACTGTAGGATATTTGTCAATTGAAAATTGTTCCATAACAAAAAAATGTGAAAAGTACGTGATGACATCGAAAAACCCCGGAATAATCAAGTAAAATTCTTGAAAAATGATAAAATGTGTGTTTCGAACCAACTTTTCGTTGTCTATATCTTCATTTGTCTATGGTAATGTTAGTCTCAGAGATATATGTCCAAAATATTAAAAAAATTATATGTCTTTAAATTTGGATTATTAAACAAAAAGGTAATAATGAAATTTCCTAAAATATTTAATTTTAAACCAATCGCTGCGACGGTATCATACGGTCCCACTATCAGTCATACGTATTTGGGTTAAATCAAACTTAGATTGCCAAACCACAAGGTGCAAATTTTAGTTACATATAATTTCATTGAAGGATTCACCAAAATTTGTGGGCATGAAATGTAAAATAAAAAAAAAAAAAAACAAAAAAGACAAAAGCCGAATTTGATACCCTACACAGCCATAAAAATTTAGTACAAATATTTGTAACAATTGAAATTTATCATACCAAAGTTATTGGCTGCTTTAAAGCGGATTAAATTTGCAATCGAATGGAACAATCATATGGAAGCTACATCTTAATATATTTTACTTAAATTGACGGAAATATATTTATGTTGTATGTGACCCGCACTACATTAGATCGCTATGGAGTGCATGTAATACATTTCAGAAGATATAAATTAAAATGACGCATAATAACAAAGCTATAACTATATCTGAATCGAGCTATATCTAAATTTACGGTGCAAAATTTCATACCAATCGAGCGGTAAATGCGAATACAATTGTTGATCGTTGGTAATGGAATCAGTTGAGAACTGCCGGACCGATTTGCATAATTTTTTGTACAAACGTTCGTCATACCCCGAGTTAGGTTTTTAAAGAAAAAATATTGACCACGCCCTCTTTTACGCCCACTATTACGATTTATCAACAATTCTTATATTTGCCAAAATAATGAAGATATCTGGTTGAAAATTATTACACGAGATACTGCTGACTTCCCATCCAACCCTAAGTATTTATTTGGGGGCATAGGAACTAACCACGCCTACTATCATCTATAAAGAAAGAAAGTTGTGTTAGTTACTACGCTTATAACTTAAGAACGGCTGGGCTGATTTTAACGATTCATACAAATTCGGAATTGTCTCCAGGCCGAAAAGGAAAAAATCCAAAATAAGTCGCGTATAAATGTGATGTACAATAGTAATGTTTTATTTTGCATTATTTTCCATTTTGGATTTTTTTTTTTAATGTACATTTGTAGTGTTTTTTTTATATTTTATTTTTGAATTCGAATATTAATACCAATTTATTTAATTGACTTGATTTTTTTGAGAACTGAAATAGAAGGCGGGTAACATGGAAGTGTAGTACCGAATTATGATAATAGGTGTGTCTGGTTACTTTTCCAGCAGGAATTGTCCAGTAACTTCTTTCTGAGAGAGTAAGGTAGTTTTATTCTCTTTTGCAAGGAAAATGCGAAAAGTAAACAGACGGTATTCCTGCAGAAACTTGCAACTAATCAGCTGATTTATCAAAACAAACCAATTTGTCCCCTTAACATTTACGTTTTTCACATTTTGTAAAGTTGTTCTCTAAAAACAATTAGTCTTGCTAATTCCAAAATAATATTTTCGAATTAAAATCACAAAAAGAAATAAATAAACAATAGAAAACATCTGATTGAATGTCGATGAATGAGAAGAAGAAGAGTTGCAAGAGATTGCAAGAAAAAAATTGTCCAACAAGAATTTGCAAACTCTCACTGAAAGAACTGTCAAAAATTCTCTCTCCAACCGCTCTCTTTGCAGAACTTTCGGGTTAACAGACGACTTCCAGTAACAATTGTTAAAAATTTTCGGGTAACCAGACACACCTAATATCGAAATAATTTAACGCGCTCACACCAAAGTTAAAAGATATTTTTTCTCAAAATCGCTAAAAATCCCAAAAAAAGAAAATCATTGCAAAAATGTTCAAATAGGGACAACATCGAAAAAAATTTTCAATTTTAATTGATTTTTGAAATTTTAAATGATTTTTCAATTCGGCTTATCATATTGAATTCAATCGTTTTTTGTAAACGAAATAAAGAATTATTTTGACAATATAAAAGAAAGTTATGTTAGGTACTACGCATTGTACAATGAATTCAAGGTAGGGCAGAACTACCATATGATTTTAATTTTTATATTTTTCTGGCTTAATATGTCAACTTCATTTGTTTATGTGTGTATTCTTTTCAATAATAAAAAAATTGTTCAAATTCCGGTGTTTTCAAAAGGCTTATTGCGACGTATGCATCGACAAAATCTACAGTTTTTGTCGCGAAATAAACCATAAGAGATATATAGATGATTTTGATTTTGAAAAGAAATTTTGACTTTTCATTCAGTTTTCGCGGTTTTAAATTATTTATTCAAAATCAAAACAACAAGTTGTTTGCTTTTTTTATTGTTTTGATAGTAGTTCTGACATTACAAGCCGAACAGGTAGACCTCTATACTTGTAATTTTTTCGAGCATAGTTTACATTTTAACCATATTTTGCATACTCATTTCAGCAAAGGTTGGTAATTTGAGAAGAAACCATACTCGCAAAAAATGATCACGTTTTGGTTAACCATCATATGATTTAAGCAATTTTCGGGGTTTTGAATTTTTTTTTTATTTTTGGGTCTTCATTTTCAATTTTCGGATTAGGGTCTATCCATGGTACAATGAATTCAAGGTAGGGCAGAACTACCATATGATTTAAATTTTTTTATTTTTCTGGCTTAATATGTCAACTTCATTTGCTTATGTGTGTGTCTTCTTTTCAATAATAAAAAATTGTTCAAAAAATATTCAAATTCGGGTGTTTTCAAAATGCTTATTGCAACGAATGCATCGACAAAATCTACAGGTTTTGTCGCGAAATAAACCATAAGAGATATATAGAACATGATATTGAAAGGAAATTTTGACCATTCATTCAGTTTTCGCGGTTTTAAATTATTTATTCTAAATAAATGCAACAAGTTGTTTGTTTTTATTGTTTTGATAGTAATTCTGACATTACAAGCCAAACAGGTAGACCTCTATACTTGCAATTTTTTCAAAGTTGACCTACCTTCTCTTCATTGTACCATGGGTCTATCTTGGTCTTGACCACATTCATCCATTGATTTGGCTAAAAAAATGTATTTAGGCTACTCTGGGGTAGAGAATCATCTTACAGATAATTGTCCTTATAGGCTTTTATTTGAGTATAGTTCCTACTTTAGTGTACCACCAACTCCACTTTCCCAAACATTGTGTTGTCAGAATAGAACATTTTGTATTCTATTGAATTTGTAACCCCCAAGAGAATATTGGTTGGGTACGAAGATTTTGGATGTACGTCAATATGACATAAACTCCGAAATGTCAAAGGTATTCGGTCGGAAATTGTGGCAGAAACGTGAAAAATATTACGAATATTAATTTCTTTGATCGTCATTGAATTATACTATGATGAAAAATATGAACTTAATGGGGTCTCCAACGCACAATTTAAATGACAAAAATAAATAAATTCCATTCTTATGGTAATGGGTGTAGGAGAGTAATTATCTTTGACTATTCTGAAAGCATTCTGTCCCTAATTATGAGGTGGACAAAACTAAATTCCACACAGCACGGTATTCTAAACGTTTTAAATACAAATCCCAAATTACAGCTCATTTGAATGGAAAATGGTGCTAAGCTCTTTACAATACCAAAAATTGACATGGGACTAGTACAGATGTTCTACATCATATAGGTTTTTAACATTCAATTAAAGCCTATGGCTGAAAAATAAGATCAAGCTATTCAAACTATCTAAAACTGACGTTGGGTGATTATCTATTATTCTATTATATATATAAAAATCAATTGTTGTTCGTTGGTAATGGAATCAGTTGAGAACAATTTTTATACAAACGTTCGTCATACCCCGAGTTGACCACGCCTACTTTCACGCCCACTATTTCGATTTATCTAAAATCCTTATA